GAGGAGGGGGCTGTCAGAGAACCTAGTGTGGACATAGAGGAGGGGGGCTGTCAGAGAACCTAGTGTGGACATAGAGGAGGGGGCTGTCAGAGAACATAGTGTGGGCATAGAGTAGGGGGCTGTCGAAGAACATAGTGTGGACATAGAGAAAGGGGGCTGTCAGAAAACACAGTGTGGACATAGAGAAAGGGGGCTGTCAGAGAGGGCTGTTAAAGGAACTTAGCATGGACATAGGGGAGAATGCTGTCAGAGAACATAGTGTGGACATAGAGGCGGGAGCTGTCAAAGAACATAATGTATCACAGAAAATGCTGTCAGAGAACATCGGGTACTGGTGACATACAGGAGGGGGGCTGTCAGAGAACACAGTGTGGACATAGAGGACAGGGCTGTCAAACAACATAGTGTACTATAGAGAAAGATGCTGTCAGAGAACATAGTGGGGACATAGGGGAGGGGGCTGTCAGAAATCATTGTACAGACATATAGAAGGGGGGCTGTCAGAGAACATAGTGTGGACATAAAGGGGGGCTGTCAGAGATCATAGTATAGACATAGAGAAGTGGGGTCTGTCAAAGAACATAGTGTACCATAGAGGAAGATGCTGTCAGAGAACATAGTGTGGACATAGAGGAGGGGGCTGTCAGAGAACCTAGTGTGGACATAGAGGAGGGGGGCTGTCAGAGAACCTAGTGTGGACATAGAGGATAGTGTGGACATAGAGGAGGGGGCTGTCAGAGAACATAGTATGGACATAGAGGAGGGGGCTGTCAGAGAACCTAGTGTGGCCATAGAGGAAGGGGCTGTCAGAGAACATTGTGTACCATAGAGGAAGATGCTGTCAGAGAACATAGTATGGACATAGAGATGGGGGCTGTCAGAGAACATAGTGTATTGGCAGGGGAGATACCAGAGAATGCAATGCATACACAGGGGAAAAAGCTGTCAATAGCCATTGTAGAGATTGGGATGCGCTGTGACAGGAGGTAGTGTGATTACTGTGAATTTTCAGGAAAATTCGTACGAATTACGATTCGTAACGAAACGAATCGCACATGTCTATACTGGGGTGGAGAGCGCAACCCAGGGAGGTGAAGAGTGTGCGGACATGTGCCCACTGCTGAAGATAGAATGTGCGCTGGGGATGCTGATGATACAGAATGTCTTTATCATGGTAGGGACACTACCGAGTGAACAACATATGTCCTGGAGACTTGTGGCGTTAAAGTGCAATACTCCAGAAGGGGTCCAGTTTGGGAGCTACAAAACCTTCCTGCTACATTCATTTCTAGTGGAAGAATCCTCCAGCAGTAAAAGTAATTGTAGCCCCCATCACCTTGTGTGAGGTGGCTAATAGAGATTTAGTGATTGCCAGAGCTGTAGTCAGTCTGGCTGGATTATAGTGGCATTTATCTGGTTAATTCCAGGTGTCTGGCATTGATTGTACCTACCTGGGTGGAGTGTGACTCTGCTGTAATGTGGGACAGCCAATGAGAGGCTCTGTGAGTGTATGTGCAGTTCACCAGCTAATCACTGGGTTTCTCTTGACCAGTGCTGCATGCTGGGATAGGGTACATACTGTATACTGGAGGGAATTGCCATGTGTTTAGTCTTGTGCCAGCCATGGATTAGTGCAGGTTGGAGTGCTGTCCAGCCTGCCCCCCAGGCTAGGCCTAAGGCCTGGCAGTGGGCAGATGCTGGTGTGTGGGAAGTGTTTCCCTGGGCCTCAAGTATGGAGGAGGCATGTGCGGTTGTCAGAGGAGGAGAACCAGGGAAGCTGGTGGCTATTGGAAGTGCCTGGAACACAGAGGACCTCAGGAGCAAGTCTGGTGTCTCTCCTGCTGAGGATTTGTACTCATCCCTGCCCATCTGCTACTCAAATTCCAATCCGCTGTGCTACGAATGGATCTACACTGAGATGCTAAAAAGGTCTGGTGAGTCTGAAGTCTATGTCTGTAGTATCCCGCATGTCTAGGATCCCTATACCCTCTCTCCCCAGTGTGAAGATGTTATTAAACGTTATTCAGAATTCGGCTTCTGGAGTGGATATCAGCTTTGTGGGCACTACAAGAGGGCGGTTAAATGCTAATGGGGGAGCTGAAGACCAAAACCCATAGACCCTTGGTTCTCAACTGGTGGGTCCTGACCCAAAAGTGGGTTGCGACCTCGTGTTCAGTGGGTCGCCTCAGTCTCCCTCTAGCGCAGCACTGTCAGTTCTCACGCCAAGCAACCATTCACAATATGCTGCCCAGTGCTGAGTGTCATCTTGAGGTGGGATAGGATGGGGCTAGGGCCGTGAGGGAGCTCCATCCATACATTCATTGCTTACAGCTCCCTCGTGTGTCCTGTAGAGATACCTGAACTGGAGTGATGTCACGTTCTGGCTTCCAGCACCTCTACAGGACATGCAAGGAAGCTGTACAGGTGGATGCACATATGGATGGAGCTCCATCACAGCACAGCAGCCCACACTGGACCCCAGGATGAGGATCCACTCCAGTTCTCGTAAGGTCAAGAGACTGGGTGAAACCAAAAATAATAATAATTGTATGTCCATGTATTTGAGGGCTCGTTCACACTAATCGCACAGTCATAATCACACCCACTACTCGTTCTGATGTGGGAGGTGTGTTGCGTTGCCATTCATTTGAATGGTACCCCAAATGCACCTCCCACCCACAGTTCAATTGCCCGCACCGGAAACGCACAGTGCCGCAACACTGTGCGTTCCATTGCAATACGGTTTGGGTCGCGACTTAATGACCAAGGACAAATGGGGGTCCTGAGGTTACACAGGTTGAGAAACACTGCCCTAAACAACTAGTGATGACCCGGGTTATTCTGGCGGCTCCTTCGGGGGTGAGCGCTACATAACAATCACTCTTTATAACACACGGGAAGGTGGTACACGGTACACGGGAAGGCATACCAGCTAACACACGTAAGCTGGTATGCCCATGCCTCAAAACATAGCTGGTAAGGGCTGATCACTGAAATCTGTAAGCCCTTGGCTTTGTTTTATCACTCACAGCAAACTCTGGCACACTCCTTGTTGAAAGCTGTAAGTTTCGAACCCTTCAGCATCTTTTTATGTACAGAAGGAACTTTGTTTTCTCCTTTGTCCATCCACTTCTCCAGCATTTCAAAATGGTGAGTGAGAAGGATATTCCATACAACTAAATATTCCGTCTCCTTACCATCACAGGAAGAAAAGGATCAATGCTTACCCGCCACAATGTGGTTGTGCACAGGACTTTAATGATGAAATATAATAATAAGAAAATATATATCATTATAATGAAGCACGATTATCGTCATTCAGTGATGATGTAAGTGGTTGTCTCTTGTAATTCAGCATAACAGTAAGCATATGTGCCTGTAGTTCCTTCTATCATGTGGAAGGATACCCGGACCTATCATATATAATCCCGTTTTTGGGCTGGAAACATGCTGGGCCCACTTACACTTTAGCATCACCGTAGCATGCAGTAATGTTTGTACCCCAGACACTAAACCAAAGCACGTGCATTGTAGCACACCACAACGTGTGATAGTGCATTGCGGTGTGTTATAAATAAAGGGCCACGTACAATTTTTGGCACGCTAGAATGTATTGGCAACCTTTTCAATTTAATGGGCTGCCTTAATGCAACGTAAAGAAGTAAATGGGCGCTCAAGTGTATGTAAACCCTAAGCCCTCATTCACACTAGAAAAGGCCGGCACGTACAGTTCCGTGCTGCGTGCAGGGCCGTATCGGGCAGCTCCCGGGAAGGACAGGTGCTGCATGTGATTAGTACGCAGCCCCCGTCCTTCTCTATGGGTGTACGCAGCCGTACGCCACCCAACGCTCATCTGCACGTCCGTACTTGCACACTGACAGGATGGATCCTGTCTGCGTCTGAGCCAGGAAACACGCACCCGTACGGACGTGCACTGGAGGTGAGCGTAGCACGGAGCTGTACGTGACGGCCTTTTCTAGTGTGAATGAGGCCTAACAATTAACATCTCCTATGTCACTGGCACTTGGTATGTTAAATAAGCCATTGAAAGAGTTTGGTTATATCTGCTCCATAAGTGCAAAAAATTACACATTGATCCTGCCAAAAATCTTGCAAACTGTGCACACTGTCTCTGCTGGCTCTCTCCTTGTGGACTTCAGAAGACCGTCCCACCTATGCAGGGGCGTAACTAGAAATCACAGGGCCCCATAGCAAAATTTTGTATGGGGCCCCGTGATTGCTAGTTATGCCACTTGCAGAACCCACCATAGACTCTCTATGGTGGGCTCTGCAAGGTCTCAGTTGGGCTGCACGCCTCTTACCTGTCAGCGTTGTCCACCTCCGTGGTCGCCGCCGCCGGGCCCCTGCCTCCTCTTCCGTCCCCGGGGCTCCGCCTCCTTCTATCGACGGGCCCTGCCTTCTCTTATATCACTGGCCCCACCTGCTCTTAGAACACTGGCCAGTGATGTGAGAGAAGGCAGGGTTGCTGTTAGGCGGGCCCCGCCTCCTTTACTGCAAACGCCGGTGTAACCGGCCTATTCTGCCGCATCTGCTGGCTGTCACTGACACAGCTCCGCAGCGGCTGTGAGGAAGAACTTTCTCCTTCACAGCTGCTGCTGAGCTATGTCAGTGACAGCCAGCACCCGAGACGCCATAGCGACCCAGGCGGCCCACACGGCATCAGATGGATGCCTGGCCGGGCCCCCCTGTGCCAGGGCCCCATAGCGGCCGCCTGGGTCGCTATGGCGATTGTTGCGCCACTGCACCTTTGTTACAAGGAGGAAAAGGTGTTCTTTATTCCTAAAATACTTTCTGTCCTAGGGTGACAATGCTCCTTCATATATACAGCGCAGTTAGTGAGCGTTGTCACCGGTGGACAGGAAGTGTGTAGACTGGCAGGATCGCCAGGGGGAAAAGACGTAACCAACAACGAAAATGATTGCAGCAGCTACAGCTAAGGACTGGTACAATGCACTATATTACATTTTTGTTCTTTAACTTAGATACGCTTTAAGTTCCTCTGTATTGTGTTCCTATCACACAGGGTCTGCGGCCAGCAGTCTTTGTTCAGTCAATATTTAAGATATTCAATACACAAGACTGGAACATTCTGTAGCGGAGAAAAAAAGTCTTTCTTTAGCTGTCCAAAACTCCACGTAATGTAATGTTGTCATATTCCCCTTCACCTCTTGCATTTTTTCCCCAGTCATCTTCATCATCCTGGGCTCTTCCACCTTGCATTTTTCCTCCACTCCTGGGCACAGCATAGTCATCCCATCCTGGCAAATAGGGATATTCATACCCCATTTCATGGGCATCAGTAGCTTGAATTTTCCAGGCATCCACCCGAATGCCCTCAGGCTCATCGTACACCGGATTAATAGGGGCTTCTGGTTCATCGTAGATGTGTTCAGGATTCTGAGGCTTTCTTGGCTTCTTCTGATTAGGAGCAGTTGGTCCAAGAAGACCGCCAAACCCTGTAGCTAGGAGGTTCTGAGCCACTTTATCAAAAGGAACCGCATACTCACTCTCTGGAATGGTGAGGTTAGTGGTCACCTTGTTCTGAGATTGGAGTGAAGCGCTCACAGATAGAGAAGCAGAACGGATAGGCTGCCTTGGCACGATGGAAAGTTCCTCCTGGTATTGTTCATGGCCAGTTGGTGACGAGGCCTCGTTGCGACCAGCTTTAATAGCACATTCAATGGCCTGGAAGATCTGAGTTCCGTAGGACGTCTCGAATTCAAAGTTTCCCTCTCCAGAAGCACAACGGCGGCCAGCTTCAAACGAAAACATAGTCTGTTGGGGAAGAGAGAGGAATATGCTTAGCAACAGAGGCAGCTCTAGACTTTGCGAGGCCTTAGGCGAAACTTAAACATGAGGCCCCACTCACAACCATAGTGGAAAATTGATGGCTCTGTGGGGTTTCAGGAGGCTATTTTTTTTAAACCTTTTTGTATTTTTTGTATTTTTTATTTTAGTATAACTTTATTTTTTAATTTTTTTTGCATTTTTATTTTTAAATTATTTAATTTTTTTAACCTTTTTTTTATTTTTTTTGTCATTTCAGTTTATTTAACTTTATTTTTTGAAACTTTTTTTTCTGATCTGCTTTTTGTTTTGGATTTTTCATTTCAGTTTTACTTTATTTATTGTATTTTTGCATTTTAACTTTTTATTTATTTAACTTTTTTTTTATTCCTTTGCATTTTTAATTTTATTTCGTTTTTTAATTATTTGTGTTTTTCATTTTAGTTTATTTAACTTTATTTATTTTATTTCTTTGCGAGGCCTTAGGCGAAACTTAAACATGAGGCCCCACTCACAACCATAGTGGAAAATTGATGGCTCTGTGGGGTTTCAGGAGGCTATTTTTTTTAAACCTTTTTGTATTTTTTGTATTTTTTATTTTAGTATAACTTTATTTTTTAATTTTTTTTGCATTTTTATTTTTAAATTATTTAATTTTTTTAACCTTTTTTTTATTTTTTTTGTCATTTCAGTTTATTTAACTTTATTTTTTGAAACTTTTTTTTCTGATCTGCTTTTTGTTTTGGATTTTTCATTTCAGTTTTACTTTATTTATTGTATTTTTGCATTTTAACTTTTTATTTATTTAACTTTTTTTTTATTCCTTTGCATTTTTAATTTTATTTCGTTTTTTAATTATTTGTGTTTTTCATTTTAGTTTATTTAACTTTATTTATTTTATTCTTTGCATTTTTACTTTTTATTTATTTAACTTTTTTTAAAACTTTTTTAAAATGTTTTTGTATTTTTAGTTTATTTAACTTCATTTTTGTTTTACTTTTTTTTTTTTTACTTTATTGCTGGGAGCAATAACCAGCCTGCTATTGGATATTTCAAATTGCAATAGCCAATAACAGGCTGGCTATTGCACCCACCCACTGTCTGCTGTCAATCAAGGGACCTGAAGGAGAAAGAAAGTTTGATTTTAATAGGAGGCAGTTCTAGGAAAGATGGTGGAGAAGGTCTTTTTTTACTTTTATAGGCACAGGACATAAAAAAAAAAGGGGGTAGGAAACAAATTAAAGTGGAACTACACCTCTCTATTCTCTTCAGCCATGGAAGATACCATCTTAGCCTCTATTTGGATTGCAGTCAGGGCCAGCGCTGGTTTCCAGGCGCTCCGGGACACCAGAGGTACTGTGCCCCTCCACCACCACCATAACATGCACAGTCAACACCACCTCCTCTGCTGGACCACCTGTCCCCCCCGGTAATATGCACCACCACCCAACCTTGACAGTTGGCATTACTTGAAAATTACTGTTTTAGGAGACATTAAATTGGTGAATCAGGTTCTGCTTTAAATGACTACATATTCTGTAAATACACAGACCATACGAAGAATATATTGTGAAAGGTCAGGAAACATACGCTGGATCATTGGATTTATGAAGAGGCTTGTGTAGGGATGGCCAATGTTACAGATATAAGAAAGCAGTTTGGTATTTTTCTTCTGTCTTATTTAATATTTACTAATTTATTCCTATTGCCCATTTCATCATCGACCAAATATGGCCAAATGTGGCTATATAAGGTCAGTGGTGTCACCAGCATCCTGCCCTTCTGTTTACATGGAGCTGCATGGATGGGAATGCCCCGGCCACAGCTAATCCCTTTTTCGGATTCAGACAAACTCAAGTTTGGACCGAATCCAAGCTCCTCCCTACTGAAGATTTACCAAATGAGACAGAGAAATGCTATAGGGGTTTTTGGACGACATGCTTCAGGAGACAGTCACAGCCTGGAGACTCATTACATGATACTGCCCCACTATGAATGCCACTTTACAAATCAACACTTCCACATTTGTGCTCCCTATAGCCCCTATTAAAATTACCTGTGCCAAGATATTGTGAAGGAAATCAACCAAACCATTAACTTCTAGAAGCCAGTCTAAAGGAGCATTTCCTTCAGCAAGGACTAAAACAGACCAGTGTCCGCAGGGGCCCTGAGGGCTGCACAGTTAGTGCCAAAAGACCACATGGGCACCGTGGTCCTAGAGTCCATACGAGATACAAGATGTAAGTAATTGATTTAACCTAGCCGCTGTTTTTGGACTGACACTTTAAAGCCCAACACTGGCCTCAGGTTTTCTTCACCCGGAAGGCAGGAATGCAGAGAGCGATATGTCAGCTCCACCATTATACAGTTAATGCAGGCACCGCATTCAGTAGCGTATCCAAGGTACGGCACATATGGCACAGACCCCTGGGCTCCACTTGGAGAGGGTGGCTGACTTTTTATTTCTTCCCACTCCTCCCTCACACACATCTCCCCACCTGGCTCTTACCAACCAGAGACGCTCTGCCTGGCATCCTGCCCAGCTCCTGGCAACCAGTGATGTCACGGCATCATGGGCTGGCCCCCTGTGAGAGCATCACCATGGCCAGAGTTATATCTATAACAATTTGCACTCCTGGCATTCCGCCCAGCTCCTGGCAATGTGTGACATCACTGGTTGCCAGGAGCTGGGTGGGACGTTGGCCAGAGCATTCCAGGCCGCTTAGAGCCAGCCGGGGTGATGAGTAAGGACGCCTATGCATCTCCCTGCCTGGCTCTTAGCAAGCAGATGCATATGCTGGTGGCCGGGGCGTAACTAGAAATCACAGGGCACCATAGCAAAATTTTGTATGGGGCCCCGTGATTGCTAGTTATGCCACTTGCAGATTCCTTCGGGCCCCGCCTCCTCCATTCCGAACACCGCCCTCATCTGCCGCAGCGGCTGGCTGTCACTGACACAGCTCCGCAGCGGCTATGAGGGGAAATGCACCGTGGCCGCTGCTGAGCTGTCTGTGACAGCCAGCACCCCCACATACCATAGCGACCCAGGCGGCCCTGGCCGGGCCCCCCTGTGCCCGGGCCCCATATCAGCCGCACGGTACGAAACTGCGCGGCCCACAAAATAGTACAGGCGCGATAATATGGCGGATTCCACATGTTGGCGGCTGTATAATAGCCGCAAACGAGCGGAATCCGTGCAAATTAAACATTTCAGCGTTTTTGTCCCACGCGGGAAACGCAAACGCTATATGGGAATGGAGCCTTAGAGCCAGCTGGGGGATGTGTTTGTCTCTTACACATCTCCCCACCCAGCTCTTAGCAACCTGGGATGCTCTGGCCGGTGTCCCACCAGCTCCCAGCAACCAGGGATGTTACTCGTTGCCAGGAGCTTGTTGGGATACCAGGGGTAGGTACGCCTCTGGCCATGGTGAAGCTCCCACAGGGGGCCAGCCCAAGACGCCTTGTTCTCATCCTATCGATTTCAGTGATAATGGGAGTCATTAAATCTGAGATCATCAAAGGGTGCACCATTTACCTTGTCTCTCCCAAATCTCCTCAGATATGGATAAGGCCAGCTGTAGAGGAGATTGCCCGTCTTACGATCCCGCAGCAACAGGCATTTGCTTTCCGCTACAAGTATGTACACTCCGGACAGACCACACCGACTGGAAGCTTCCGTCTGTCTCACCCACACCGTAAACTGACCTGTGAATGCAGACGGCTTGCCGGTGAATACACTAACATTAAAATACATAATTAGTTTAAATAAATGAGCAGCAGGTAATAACGATCACTTGTCATACTCGGTCTAAAATAAGGTATGTCATGCCAATGGAAGGGTTTTACTTTAACATTTCATCAGTATGTTGAAGAGGAGGAACCGGGGAAGCCAAAAATGAAGCAGATTAAACTTCAGATTTAAATGCATGGCGCCCATGGCCATTATCTCATAGCAGGATATTTGAAGGCAGCGCTGCGGATGCCGAAATTTGTTTAGATTTGTGGGAGAAGCAGAGTGCCTATTACATGAACCGGTGGATAAGTATTCAGTCTAAAAATTTACTGTTGCCACGGGTGCAAAAAAAGAAATTTAAATATATTTGGGCAGTTTTGGGAAATCCAAACTGCGGGCTGTAAATGAAATGGAAAGGTAACATTAAAGTACAGAACGGCTTTTGTAGCAATGTAAGTGATATTATGTACAGTGAGTTGTCCTTTGATGTGTCCACCTCTCATTGTTCTTCTCACCTGGGGAGGCCTCCTGGCTTGTGCTGTACAGGGAGTTTTCTTGCAGCTGTAGTCCTTCTGAAGTCAGGGGCTGACTGCCCAACCTCTCCAGAGTCCGCCGTTCCTGAAATCAAAGACAATTTTGTAACTGCAGAGAATTCTTTTTGTCTGACTATTATCTGCATCTTGAGAACAAAAGTGTTCCCACGATGGGAATAAAAACTGGTAAAAGAGGGATCCCTCTGTGTTGCCCCTGGCAGCCAACTTTGGGCTTGAGATCCTCCCTTCCTCCTGCACCCCATTCCCCTTGGAGCACCCCTGCACCTTTACAAAAAAAATCTGTATAATACCTTTTTTCCAGGTGTCTTCTAGGTCTATTGATGTGACAGGTCCTCTTGACTTCATCCTCTGGTGGTGGGCTAATCCTAAAGTGCTACCCCGTCATCTCTGCAGCATTCTCCTATGAGTCCAGGGAGGGGAATTGGGCAAAGCTTTGACGCCAGGGGCATCCCTAGCCTATTTGCCGCCTCACGTGGTGGGGAGGGGAAGGGGGTGCTGCTGGATGGTGTAGAATCAGTAGGGGGGTTGGGGTGCTGGTGGAGAGTGTGAGGGCTCAGCATTTTGCGAAGGGAACTCTTAAGGCATCAGCATACCAAGACATTTTGGACAATTTGATTCTCCCAACAGTTTGGGGACGGCCCCTTCCTGTTCCAACATGACTGCGCACCAGTGCACAAAGCAAGGTCCATAAAGACATGGATGGGGGAGTTTGGGGTGGAGGAACTTGACTGGCCTGCACAGAGTCCTGACCTCAACCCGATAGAACACCTTTGGGATGAAGTAGAGCGGAGACTGCGAGCCCGGCTTCTCCTCCAACATCAGTACCTGACCTCACAAATGGTCCAACATTCTCGTGGACACACTCCTAAACCTTGTGGACGCCTTCCTAGAAGATTTGAAGCTGTTATAGCGGCAAAGGGCGGCCAACTCAATATTGAACCCTACGGACTAAAACTGGGAGGCCATTAAAGTTCATGTGCGTTTAAACATTTTTGCTTTTGGAGACTTCTGTTTTTTTAGGCTTCTTACTTTTGATCATCTGCAATTTAAGCTTTCAAAAATCTGTAAACATTTATTGTTACAGGAAAGAGAAAAAAAGAAGTCGTATTGATTCAGACGGAACACATACGCCATACAACTATTTATACAAAATACATTTACTGCATGCAGTCCAATCTTGTCACCCAGGGGGGTTGTCATGGGGCCGGAGGGAATTGCCTGCTGATTTTAGCAGTGAAATACAAATAATGTGTCGGAAAAATCTGCAATGTAAGCGTGCAGACGGGGAGAGCGAATTTACCTTTGTCGTCTGTCTTTGGATTGATGATGCAATATTGATAAGGTCCGGGACAGAATAAAATGACCTTGTGACATTTTATAGCCGTGAGGACATTTTTGGACAGCATAGTGTAATTGGTAGCTGTGTATTATATATGTTTGATACAAAAACTATTAAAGGTATCTATAGTCAAAAATTAAAACTTAATCTGTATTTCTTTATTGAATTTTGATAAGTTCTTTCCCTCTTCCAATAACCAGGTCCATCTAGAAGTTTATGAACTGGAGATGCTCCATAGGATGGACTTCCTCGATGCCCTGACACCATTTCACTCAGTCCTGTGAATATGCATTACACATGTGCGATCCGTTTCGTTCCAAATCAAAATTCGGTCGAATTTTCCAAAATTTGGACATTCTGACACAAATATTTCCGAATCCAAATTTCTGTTTCTGAATTTTTTTCAAAAACTAAACTGAGGGGATGGTTCATCCTTGTACAGGAGTTGTTTGGTTTTGTTGCCATATTGGCGTATCTAAATGTTTTGGTCAGTAATTACAGTACATAAGACATCATTTGGTCCGTACAGGCGAATCACCTCCTGGCCCAGCCGTATTTCGGTGGGACCGGAGTGATTAGCTTGGGCGACCTGCGAGGGCAGGAGCAATACATCTAGGTAGTTGGGTTACACCGGAAAGGAGTATTGCGTCAAACCCACACATATTGTCATCTGATTTTACTCAGTAGTGTGACGTAAAGTCATGGTATCCGTGCCCTGAGCAATGTTTAGCCGGTTACCAATAGGATGTGTTAATGCTCATAACATTATTGGATTAATACCTTTTGTCTTTTGATTTTTCACTATGCCACTGTCCAATGCACTGATGTCTTCAATGTAATGTGACAATAAACGAAGTATTTAAAAAAAAAAACTAAACTGAAATTGGACATGTGACTTTTCTGGCCAATTTCGGTTTAATGCATCCGAATGGGTCTGAACACGGATTTTCGTTACGGCAACATGGGAGGCATATACAGTATATACATATACCGGTAATACTAAAGCTGGGGATCCTAGACCCGAATGGCATTCGGGAGCTTCTTATTGCCATTCGGGTCTGGAAGCCTCAGCTTTAGTAATATATGTATATGGCTCCCAGACCTGAATGGCATTAGGGAGCTCCCAAATGCAATTCGGATTTTCGGAACCCTAATAACATTTGGCTCTCGGAGCCATATACATATATTACTAAAGCTGAGGCTCCCGGACCCGAATGTCATAAAGGAGCTCCTGAATGCGATTCAGAAATTCGGATCCCGAATGTCATTGGGGTCTAGGAGCCTCAGTGTTATTATTAGTATCTGTATATGTTTTTTTGTTTTACTCATGTAGCGCCCTCTAAAATGTCGCTATTCAATTTAGAGATACCTGGACTGTAACCAGTCTAGATACTGATTATACAGAGCTCTGCATTCTATAGGTGTCCCTGAGTCTGCTGGATTGATTGCTCCTCCTGTTGCTGAGGAAAAGGGAGCCTTGGCATACAGTGAGGGAGGATCCACCCTCAGGTTATGACTATGCACCTGGCCCTAGCCAATCCCTGAGTAGGATGACTCAGAGGCATGGTTGAGGGCAGGTGATAAAAGGTCTGGGGACACTGTGGAGAGCTCTCTTTCCCCTAGGGGCCTCGCCCTAGGAGGACTGTGTGTGATGCAGAGCAAGCAGCCTGGGCCTCAGCACATGGCAGGTGCTGAGGGGCCTGGAGGCCTAAGGATACACTGATGCTTCACTGGGCCCATACACGTGGCAGGTGTTGGGTGCCTTGTTCTAAGAAGATACTCTCATTTAACTGGAGTGCTCCTTGGCAGTTGCAGATGCTGAGGGCACAGAAGTTCCAGATCCTAAAGAGGAAAATACCTGATGGAAGCTGGGTTGGGGAGGAGTCCGCTTGTTGAGGGGTACCGCAGAGGAGCTGGTGCGAGCGTCCGTCTGGGACCCACAAGGGAGATCCCACACCCTATTCCAGGTATCTGTTCACAGTACTACTACTGCTATTGGTCCCTGGGACCAGATCGCAGTGATTTCGGCCTTAGCGGTTGCTAGGGGAGAAAGCTGTCCTCAGAAGTATTTCCAAATGGCATCCTACAGATCCTAAACCCTCTCTCTCCTATTGATGTTGCAAATAAATACCCTAAAAAGACCCTAAGACTCGAGCCGTTCTGTCCGTGAGTGTCGGTGTGCTGTTGCTGATTAAAGGGGAATGGCAGCTGGAACCAACAGGTAGGAGAACCTATTTCAAACTCAGCGGCTCCTTCGGGGGTGAGCGCTACACGCACAACAAATATTCATAAACATATCAGTATATATTAGTATATGCTGTTCTATTTCCAAGACTAATAACATTTGTTTTTTCACCCATTTGCACAGGACGAATGAACATGCAGTTCGCAGGACAAATGGCTCTTCAATTTTTTTATGATTAAGCCAAGGGATGCACCGATACTAGTATCTGTGCCGATATTGAGTATTTGGGCGGGTGCTCGTACTCACCCAAATGCTTCGATGCCTAACCCGATACCCGAATGTCCGGTATCAGGAAGCCGGGTAGTGAGTCATTTGGTGACAAGGGAGCATGGAGCTGGCTTCCCGACTAATCAGGAAGCCGGGCAATGTGTAATGACTTGTCGCCTGGCTTCCTGGTTGGTCGAGAAGCTGGCCAATCAGGAAAACAGGCAGCGACTCATTACCCACTCCCCGGCTTCCTGATTGGCCAGAAAACCGACTCCATGCTCCCTCATCACCTGGTGATGAGGGAGCATGGAGACGTCTTCCCTCCTAATCGCGAAGTCGGGTGGCGAGTCATTACACGCCACCTGGCTTTCTTAATGGGACTTCCGGTAACTGTATGCAGTATCGGCGCGTACCAAAAAAAAAATATCGGTACTCGTCCTCAATACTGAAAAACCAGTATGGGTGCATCCCTCATTACGCCCCTAGGTGTCATTTGATGCATATCAGAGTGCTCTATTATTCAGGATTCACAAAACCTGCCAGAATGGTTAAGAAGCTGGAAGTTGCCTTCTTTACATAGCGGCAATTTTATAGTTTTAGCATCAACACAAGAAGTGTGGAGATGCTGAAGATTCTTCAGCCACTCTTCATTCTTAAAGAGAATGGCAGAGAAGCTTATTATTAACTTTCTTCTTTACGGGAACATCTTTTTTTTTGCTTTTTAGTCTAGCAAAAACAAAATAGCTTCAAAGTAAAACTGACGTTAGGTTATAGACATTCAAATATTTACATATGCTCAGCAAGCTTTAAAACAAGCTTTCGCTGACCTCTGTAGCTGCATGCACTGTGGAGTGATTCTTCCTTAGTGTTCAGTGCAGAAGCACTTTCATGTAAATTTCATCAGTTTAGCTCACCCTGCTCCTCCTCCCTGCAGTGTCTGGCAGCCTGACAAGCTTCTAATCTCTAATATAATCACAGAGCAGGTGCACAAGAAGAGAGAGAGCAGAGCGCTCAGACCAGATTTGAAGGACTTCCATGCTTCTCTTGTAAACTTTAAGTATGATTTGCTCCACAGAGCCTGCAACTACAGACTTTCATACTTCTTCTCAGATCAAAAGTAACTCAAAAAGTACCAAGACCAAAAAATAAGCATGGCAGTCAGCAGCTAGCATACCCATGAAAATGTCATACTGTGTAGTTCTGTCATGACACGTTACTTTTGATCAGTGACGTGCAGTACCTCCGGGTGAGGCATTCCCCAGCCTCGCCCCCAGCACATCCCGTCCCGCCCCCCGTCAGCC